ATCCTCGGCCCTGAAGTTTGCAGTGGGAGTGGGGAGCTTGTGGCCGTGTGCTGTGGCTTTGGAGCCAGCACCTTTGAGAAGGTCCTTGGGAGGTGCTGAGAGATGATTGAAGGGCACTGAGGAAAAGTGAGGGCCCCTTAGTCACCACTTATGAAACTCTCTTATAAAAATTTCAAGATTCCCAGCTATGAGCTTTTGAGTGTGAAGTGTGGGGTGGCTGCTGGAGTGAAGGTCACTCTTGTTGAAAGCACAGGAATTCCTTACATGTGACTGAGGTTTTTGTTAAGCCTGATGAGAATTCACAACCATCACACCTTGCACTGACAGATTGTGACAGTGAAGATTAATCCCGTCTTTACCACATAAAACCTGAAGCCAGTCAGGTGCCTCTTTAGTAAATCATGTGGGTGTGTGACAGCAAAAGCTGAGTCTCTTCCTGGTGTGTACTACTGGAAATTGAGAACTAGACAAAACAGACCAGACCTCCCCCTCTTTGGGGAAACCTTTGATAGAGGTGCTGAAGGGAGTGTCTTTCTCCCACAACTTGGAGAAAGACTTGCTAAGTCTTAAGATGAGAAAGTAGGAGTGAGATAGAGAATGTATTTACCTGCAGTATTTCCTGGTTTCAATGTTGTTTTCAGTTAAGATGCATTTTCAAGCACTGCCAATGCTTGAAAATAAATGCCACTTTTTCAGAATGGGAGAGAAACCTGATCTAGAAAGATAAATATATGGACATAGATGAATGAGTTCTTTGGTTATTGTTGCAGAAACGGCCTCTAGCTTCTGACTTTAGCGATCCTGTGATGAGCAAGAAGCGGAGAATTGCTCGCCAGCTCAGTTACAACCAGCCAGCAGCTGATGGCCACTTCTCTTCCTTGCTGCTGCCTTCCACATCCACTTCCACTTTGAACATGTCTCCAAGTGTTGGCTCCGTTTCCCCCTGCACCTGTGAGGTGCAAGAACAAGACAAATTTCAGAGTTCTAGCATCCCAGAGCCTTCTGGGGTGCAGGAGGAGATCCCCAATTCTAATGGAAAGAAAAACCAACTGGGGAGGCTGAAGCAGTTGTGTCCCTCGGAATTCGATGAAGGTATTAATGCGCTGCCTTTCCTAAGTCCTGGGGGAATAACCGTGGTGTAAAGATTTGGTTATTAAGAGAAGCTTCTGCCCAAATTAAAGTGCAAATGCAGTCCTTTTCCAGTGTTAATAGTAAAAATGTTATTTAACAGGAAATGCAAACTTGGGAGATAAAAAGAAATTAGGGAAGAGAGGCAGGGTGGGAGAAGAGTAAGACATTAAGTAGGAAGATATCAGTACCATGTGGATTCTGTGTTGTCCAATTGGTCCTTCTTCACTCTGGTCTTCTTGGTGGTGGGGGTTCCCAAGTTGCTCTGGAAGTACCACCTCTATACTGGATCCACAGGGTGCTCACAGATGTTCCCACACCTTGGGCTAGAAGTGATGGAAGCATTTATTCCCTTACCCACAGTCTCTCCAGTGGAATGTTTGTCTGGTGACCTAACTGCAAACCTTCAGCACTGTTAGGCCAAGGCTGGTGCTTTCCTTCATTCCATCTGTGCTTCTCTTAAATTCCCCTTGTGCTGCCTTATCTCTTATGGGAGCATCCTTCTTGGACAGTGTTCTCAAGTAGATAACTGTGTTCTTGCACCTGCTGAAAAGGCAGCTTTGAAGGCTGCATACATGAAGGCACTGCTCTACATTTCTGCTCTACCATTATTCCTTGCTTGATGGTCATGAAAAACCAAGACTCTTTTTTCTGCCATTGCATTCCATTGTAACTCTTGGTTTAAAAGAAGCAGCAGCAAAGGCCAGAATCTGTGCTGCTGCAACCTTATCTAAAACTACCTTAATTTTTAGAAATTCTCCCTCTGTAGTGCAAAACCAATCAAGAAGAAAGAAATGTCAAATAGATTGCTGTTGGGAGAACGTGGTTAAAAGGAAGAGCCACGCACTAGAAAGTCACAGGGAATGGATTTTTTCTTTCCATTTGATTTCTAGTAAACACACAGTTGGCTCAGACAGTCGATTGAGCCACCACTTTTTCCATCAGCAGCTTTTCAAGTCTGCATGCTGGAGATAGAAACCTATCACCCATTTACTGCAGACTAGTTTATTGAAACATGTAAGCATCTCAATGACTTGATTGTTGTTTTTTGAACTCAGCCTTTCCATGGAAACTCCATGGAAGCTACAAAACCTGGCCTGTGGTTTCCTGGAGTTGTAGTTTGAAGTGGCCTGGGAGCTCCTCTCCATTCTAGCTACATAATTTCTGTCTTCAAAAGCTCTAGAAGTGGTACAGACTGAAAACAGCATTGAAAAGCTAAACAGAATATCCAAAAGGAGCACTTGATTTGTGATCTGTGCTTCATCAGGGCAGTCCTTTGGAGCTGCTCAGTGAGATGCAGGGAAACTGAGGAATTGGCATATATGCTCAGACACTGCTTGGGCTGGGTCAGATTTTTGGCAAGACCCTGCCCATAAAACCCTGTTTGAGCTGTCTGAGAACAATCCGTAGGGTGAGAGGTGCCCCAAGCAGAGTCTTAGAGCATGTGCTCCTTCTGGTGCCTGTTGAGAGGCTTAATTGCAGATCTTGGGTGATACTGGGAGTTGGGGATTTGTTGTTGCAAACCTCCCAGAAGAGTGGTGGCTCACAGAGAAGAAAATCTCGGAAGTCAAATGGAGTGCAATTGTAGTGCTTTAGTAAAGTTTGCATTTTATGGTGGTAGTGAAACATTCTTTGTGTGTTTTTTCTTGAAGATGCTGCTTCATCGAATCCTGGCAGATTATCAGCAGATACAACAGGTATGTTTGACACCAGATCTGCAGAGCGTGGTTACTGCTGAGTCTGGCTCAAGGCCTTTTTAAAGCAAAGCACATCTTGTAAACTCTGCAGAAGTCTTTGCCTGCCCTATTTTTTTTATTTTTTTATTTCTCCTTCATAGGGTAGCCCCAGCTACTTTGAAATGAAGAACAGGTGCCTGTACCTCCACAACAAGCTGTCACATATTCATCAGAGCCTCATATCTGAATTTGACAAGCATTAAGTGGAGTCCTGGCACCAGGCAACTGCTTCAGCCAGAAATATCTATGAACTCTGGATTTTTTATCACAACTAGAAGATTAGGTTTTTAGGATTATTTTCATTAGTATTGAACAGTAGGTAGCATTGAGCAATAGATGACTTTCTAAAAATGTAGAATTAGTTCAAAGAAGTTGAGTAAGTTAATGGATTTCAAAGATGATATTATTGAACTTTAAGAATAAAGAAATTTCACTTGTGACAACTCCTTCTCTCATTGTTGCTTGTATCATATTGAGGTGGCTTTTTTCTTCTGGCCAATTATTTTCTTCAAGACATATGTTTGTCTAGTGAAATAAATTTATCAGGAAAAGGTTGAAGCCCAGTACCTCTACTATGAGGTTGCCCGCATTTTAAGAAAATATTAGAGGAAATGGAAATTCTTTATGATACATATAGGGGTGTTTTCCAACCCTTCTCCTTAATGCACACTCTTTGCCTTAAGTGGTCCAAAGAGTAGGAGTTTGGACAACCCCCTCCCCCAGTCAGCTTGTTTGGGAGGGTTACAGAGGAATGTGTTATGGGCTGCTCTAAGCTGTCAGCTGAAGCAGCTGCCAGGACTGCCTGGAGATCATGGCCTCATCTTGTCAGTGAGCCAAGGAATATCCAGATCTTTTGCAAGTGTTCTATAAAACACATGGAGAAGTGTTGGAGGCAAGGCTCATCAACAGATTTTAAAGAGAAAGTGGCTTGAAATGTCTTTATGGAGACTCTGTCTGTTCTACAGTTTTTTCCAAAATAATCTGTCACAACCAGTCTTTCTAGGGAGACACAGATGTTGATTCCTGCACAGACCTAAAGGGATTTTGAAGTCTAGTCTTTTACCTAAGTCTCGTGCCATTAATTTCTTCAGCTGACAGGGTGGAGGTGTGTCCAGCAATGCCATAACCTTCTTCTGGGGAAGGATATGAAATTGACTGAGGAAGGACAATATCTGGCAACATTCAAAGGGGCTGTGAATGCCCCTTTCTTTCTTGGAGACTATTTTACCAATTCCTCAATTGTCTGCATGCCTACAATGTTTAGCCCCCTGTATGTGAGACATCTTGGGGTGTTTTGTGATTGAACACCTGATCCATTGTTGCCCTTCTGTTCTTTTTCAAGTGAAATTCAAGAACATGTCACCTCTATAAATCCTGATGTCTCACTATATTGGGGACAGTGAGGTAGTAACGACATGGAGTCTCTTGTGATTTGAACAGGAGAGCAAGGTTTATTACTGCAGATCTTGTTTTATAGACAAGTATGCAAAGGTCCAGAAAAGTAAAATCCTTATTGGTCAGTAAACTAAGACATTACCATCATTGGTCAGTGGTCTACACCACCCCTTGACCTTCTCTTGCCGTAAAACAAGAAACTGAAAACACCTGCAAGGCTGTCTTCTATTTCTAATGATTATTTTGATTCCTCCTTATGATTTCCCAGGCTACTTTCTCATTCAAGCCTGAGAAAGTTATGTGACTTGCTTTTCTACAGACACTGGGTTCCCTGCTTGCCGCTTGCATTTAGCATCCACAGCCTGAGACTTGGGTCTTGCTTTGTCTGGGCCAGGGGCTACTCCTACAGCTCGTCAGTGCAGCAGCACAAGGAACGGTGACGTGGGGAGCACGGGGTGAATTCTGCTGGGGTGCCTTCCCTTGGGCACTTGGGGACTGCTGCTGGTGGACGGAGCATGCAAGAGTGCTGCTGTTGAAGTGTGGGCTGAGACAGAGGTTTTACAGGCACATCCTTATTCTGGGTCACATTTCACTCTTGCTGTCAACTGCCTTTAGGATGTGTAATGTCCACATACTCCTTAGACCTGTGTGTTTCTGGCTGTCATTTCTGTCCACATCCCTAAAAACCAAAGGAGAAATAAAAAAACAGT